GACAAACTTCAGAAGTACTGCTCAAAGATAAGAGTTAAAATCGAAATACAAAAATGTAGCCTATTTTCTATTCCCTGAAAAACATTTCACAAAATTTCCATTTTTTAACCACATCGGGTTATGAAGTAATTCAGATATTTGAGTTCTTCAATTTTTGATGAGTCTTTTCATAGAATTTCTTCATATGAAGGAGCTGGGAATAGATGGAAAAATATCGAAAACAAGAATATGACATGAACACATAAAATTGAAGTTGAGGATGAGGGAGATTTATACCTCAATATACGCTTGTTTCTAGCATTTTTATCCATCAACAATTGTGTTATTTTCGTTTTCGACATCTTTTTTCTTTCAAAAATTTTCCTTTCTATCTTTTTCTATCATACTCCCGTAAAAGAACTCGAGTATCATTTAGTAACAGACTATTTTCAGTTTAACAGAAGAATTATTCAAGCGAACTTCAGAACTTATGATTTCATAGTAGAGCACACATTTATATAATAGGTGTGTGTAGGTGTAGATATGACTTTTTCTGAATACCCACACTAGTAGCGTAACTGGCACAGTGGCGACTCGCTGGCAGTGCCCGGGCAGTAGAAGGTAGCGTTATCCTTGTTTTGCTTCTAACTTTTTAGCTAAATGTTCTCAGGAACAGAAATTTGTACTAGATGTACTACATATTAATACCCGATTTATGGTAAAAGTTCAGGCCATCATAACATTTAGTTAGAAAGTTAGAAGCAAAACAAGTATGGCGCCACCTTTTATTGCCAGAGCACTGCCAGCGAGTCGCCACTGTACCAGTTACGCCACTAACCCACACCCACACACCCGTGTAAACATCTTTTAAAAAAAAAGGAATTCTACCGAACGATTTGTGTGTGGGTGTGGGCGTGTGCGGGTGGATTCAGATTACCTTTTCATCACCGCCCACATCCACACCCACATCTACACCCATACCCACACCTACACCATACCCACACCTACACCCATACCCACACCTACACCCACACCCACCCACATCCCACACCCATACCCTTTTTTGAAATATCATCTTGTTTAACATAAAAGAAAAATAATAATCTGATACACCATATCAAAGAAATAAAGCACTATTATCTTTCTGTCAACAATTTATAACAAATTGTTTAAATTTTTTTCATAATTTAAATGTAATTATTCTGCTGAAAATGTATGTAAACATGATGGACGGTTTTCTTAAGAAAATTTTAAATGTCTGAAATATTTTTAATGTCATTATTCTGATTGTTATCGTGAAATAAGATTGAGATAAACTATGAATGGTTTTAATCTTTTATTGGATGGTATTCTTGGTTATTATACTTATCCAAATCGAAATATTTTCAATCAATTATATGCAATTTTGATAAGTTACAATTATCATTATTTATAGATTAATCAATAGTGTTATGCTTTATGTGGAATATGAAAATGTTAAAGTCTTCTCTTTTTATTTCTCTTTAAAATTTCATAATAAAATCATCTTTTTAAAAAATCTGATATTTTCATATGAAAATATGAAAATTAATCTTTAATTTTGAGGATGATTGTGTTTAAGTGACGTAGATTGTTCGCCTTTATCGTTCCAACGGACGATAAAGCAATAGAAGCAAGAGATAAATTCGATTTGATTGTTATCGGTAGCTTCTACCGAGAGACGATAACCATAAGTTGTGCTAGCCAATGTGAATAGGTGAAGTTGAAGACCATCATTCAAAGCATTGGCTTGGATTGATATTTTACGTTCATAAACTAGTATTTCACAATTTGTTTTTGGATCAGTTGTTAACGTACGAAAGATACAAGATAATGAATATTCCAAATCCTTATTGTTAAGTCTATCTCGTGAACGTTCTTGAATAGTAATAAATAATTTTGAATTATCCTGTGATCTTGATGTTGCCATTACTATAAATAACTGTTTTAATTGTTTGTGAAATCTACAAATATAATAATTATTTTTTAGAGTAACATGCAAACAAAAAATAAATTATGTCGATACAAAGGGTGGAGATAAATAGGGGTGAGAAAGTTATTGTTATTTTTTTTTTGTTATTTTAACAATAACATTCACTTCTTGATTCAAAAACATTAATGAAGCAGGTGTAAGCATAGTTTGTACGTACGTCTAAAAATCACTTTATTCATATAGTATCTTTATTACCATTTGATATAAGAACCAGTGGTAAATATTTTGAGAAATCGTAAAATAACTTTTTTTGTTTAGCACAAACTATGCTTACACCTGTTCCATTAATGTTTTTGAATCAAAAAGTGAATCTTATTGTTATTATAACAAAAAAAAATAACAGTAATTTTCTCATCCTTAGTGATAAGATACGTTCACTAAACCGCCATTCCATCAAAATGCATTCAACCTTCTTTATGGAGAAAAAAGCAAGAGATGACGTTGTCTTTCAGCTTAATGTAATATAAATATGAACATAATGGAATTATACTTCGATACTATAATCTCATCTCTAAATATGTAGACATTCTGTCTGCTACATTTTTTTATAGTTAGGCTAATTTTAAAATAACCTGTTATGCACATGAATACATCGAGGGTGAGGGTATGACGTCACTTGTGCATCCGTTCCAATCACGTCATCAAGGTGAATGGAAAACTTCTTCGAATATAGCTTAATAACCGGACGAATGTAAGACATTCTGAATAACAATCTAAATAGATTATAAAACGTATCAGCAACAATATTGATAATTGATATAAGATCGATTATGTCATAATTGTATATTTTATTTCCAAAATAAAGTTTCATAAAATGAAATTTGATGTGTATAGGAATATTTCGAATAATGACGTACTGAATCAATTGAAAAAGATTATTAAAATTCGAATTGTTTTTGATTTTCTCTCAAATATTTCATAAAATATTCAAAATCTTCATCATCGATGATTTTCAAATCGAAACATTTAAGTTTTGGAAAAGATGTTCGTAAAAGCTGAAGAGAATCAACTGCAAAAGATGATTGTAGAACATATGGACAATTTAACCATTTGAAATTTGGAAAAACTCTCGATAGATCATTAAAAAATGTCGTTAATTGATCCAAATCTTTCCAAGAAATAATCAGTGTTAAACTCAAAATATTCTTTGATTTTTTTCAGATGAAAAAGTTTTTTCAAATCTTCAATTGATTTCTTTTCATTGTCACTCATAATTGTCTAATCTGTAAGATTTGTCGATAAAGGACCCAGCACGATAAGAGTCGAAATCTGCCACCCCGCTCACATGGTATTTTAATATTATTATTTTTTACCTTCGACCTTTCCTCACATTTATTCACTTCATTTTTTTCGAATGAACTCTTACTTATAGAGATAGACCTAGATCCTTACGTTCAGATAATAAGGTAAAATATCGATATATTTGAACCCTTGAAGTACGCTTTTTTCTGTCATAGAAAAAGATTTTTAAAATTCTAATTATATGTTCAGAATCAGCTTTAAAAACTATCGTTTTGTATAATTTTATTTTTTCAAAACTTCTAATGTTAAACAAAAAAATCCAGAGAAAGCCATTCAAGAGTATATACATCGAAAATGTACAAAATCTTGAGATTTCATTATCTCAAAAATGAAAAATACTCCATCGGCAAAAACTTTCTCAAAAACTTGTTTATATGTTGAGCTTTCTTTTGATGCCATGGCAATTTTAAATTTTTTTGTCCGAAGTCACATTTTGTACTCATATATTCTCAAATACCACGATATTGCACACAAAGCCTGCTCGTATTTGCCGATTTGCATAATAAATAATTCATTTTTGAATAAAATGCATGTGATATTCGAAATCAGCATTAAAATCTGAGTAGAGTAACAGGTATTTTATTAAAAAAATAATTTTCGCTAAAATTACAACCCTGGGGGTCCACAGACGAATTTTCTGAAAGTAATCGCTGGAGGGTTGTACGGGTGTAATTTTAGCGAAAATTATTTTTTAATAGAATACATGTTACTCTACTCAGAGGATGGGTGTGAGTGTGGATGAAGAGTACATTCCTACGCCCACACCCACACCCGCACCACACCCACACACCCACACCCTTAATATTAGATTCTACTAAATCTGATATAAATGGAATTGTTTTGCCTTTTTTCGGTTACGTCTGATGATGGTGTTTGAGAATCGATACCGAAATATCCCGTGGTGAATTGAATAATATTAGCTATTCTCATTCTTTTTATTTTTTATTTTTTATTCGTATACAAACTTCTGTTAGAATCATATAAGAATATAAAAAAGATATTTCGAATATATTCCAACAAATTCTAATAATCAACTATTAATAATAGACTCTTTCTCTCAATGTTGTAATCTTATATATGTCATATAAATATGAGATCAAACTATAAATTAAAAAAAAAAGAATAATTGAAAAGAAGTTCATGCTTAGGTATTATTAGCCCATAGTGTACTTTATGCATAAAGTGTTATATATTTTCAATTAAATAATGTACATCTGTTTTAAGAAAACAATAAAGAAAAAATTTATATAAAATCTTTTCCTTTTTTTGAAATGTGTAAATTAAAAATATTAGTAGAATCTTTTAGAATTGATATCGATGTAGTTGTTTTTCTATTTGTAGAATATTATCTACTATTGATCGATCAATTGAAAATCGATGTTTATCAACTATTCAATTAGAATCATTAAAATCTGATAATATTGTTTTCAATGATCAACATCAACAATATTCAAATATTCATAATACCCAGATCAAATAAAACGGCGTCGTAGACTGCTTTAAGCAGTGTGATAACGATGCAAAACGTTGAAAAACAGTGCCGTAATTCATCATACCAGATTACGGAAGTAAAACCGCGGAAAAGCGATAACTATTTTCTAGCCATAAAAACGGCTTGTAAAACAGTATGACGAATTACAGCGAAATAAGACCAAAATTTAGGCAGTAACTCACCGTTTTATGGCCGTTTCAGACCAGATAAGACGTCGTTTCTGACGGTCGGAATGATTGACCTGGGAAGAAAAACAAAGAAATTCAAAATGATTATAAATGATTGCAAAGAAATTCCTTCCGTATAAATTTTTTTTAATTTTCTATCTTTTGCTTCTATATTGTTCTTGTTTTAGCTCGTCTACCTACAAACACACTCAATTATATATTAGATTTAGTTAAACTAATTCAGAGATCAAATGAAAATAGTGATCGACGAAATAATAAGCAATTGGCAGCTGATTAAAGATTAAACAAAAACATTTTATTAAATTTAAAAGATGATACTCCTTAATAAACGATATTAAATATTTTCAATCATCTTTACCAAGGATATAAATAAAAGTAAAGTAAGACTGCATTCATTAAAACATTTAAAACTTAACAAACTCGGTCTTCTAGAAACTATATTAGGTATAGTAGTTAGAAATAAATATAAAGTCATTTCATTATTTTATTTTTTTTTTGTATCTTTTTTTGTAGCTTTTTATCAGCGATCATCACATATTACAATATACAAAATGAACGATTTAAATCAAACATTAAGTAATTCGATTCGAGCAGCTCGAAATCAATGGAGCAAATATAAACACTTTATGACTCATAATGAGGTTGACATTAAAAAAATCAGTCGAAATCAAATGAAATTTCAAGACAAAACTCATCATAATCGAATGAATGGGTGTGGGTGGGTATGAGTGTGGATGAATAGCAGATTTACATGCACATTTACACCCGCAACCCACCCATACTCTCAATCGAGACTTCACTCAAAAGAAGCCATTTGCGTAGATTTAGTAGAGTTTGTTCAGCTGCATCGAATGAAATTTAAACAAACTTTTCGAAATAGTTGAAGAAGAATGTATCCAAAACGTTAATAGCGTTATGTTTAGACAGAGTGATTAGTATTATTCTTGATGTTGTTAATTGTTTATTTGATAAAAAAAACGAATAGAGGATTAATCAATATCTTTTTTATTACATTCTTAATAAATTTTAATAAAATGATAGGTAAATCTATTTCGTGATCTCATTTGATTAGAATATCTATTTTCGGATAAATGAATTTTGATTTTCGGTTAGATTTTATTGAGAAAATTTATTTGTTAAGATAATAAATCGGCTTCTTCATTGAATAATATATAAAAAGAAAAAAAATGTGGATTTTTTTTATTTTAGTATAAAATGATCTTATAAAAGTATTTGTTTATCTTGAAAATTAATAATGTAATTAATTCATCTTTTAATATTGAAATAATATTTAGTAATGTTAATATAATCAAAGATGATAATGACATAAGGAAAAAAATCATTTTTTATTATTTATATTGAAATTTCAATAAAATAGAATTATTAAAGAATCAATTATAACAAAGAATTAAGTCTTTAAATATATTAAATAATTTTAATTTTATTAAAATTTAATATTTTTATTACTGATGATATTTCAAGTATTTTTGAAAATTATTTTATTTTTCATTTTTCTATAATGAAATATATGTTTAACTAAATCTTATAATTTTAATTATTTTTCAATCAAAAACAATATTGTAAATAGATTTTTTCAATTGATTCTATTATGAAATCTATATGTTTTTCATTATTTTATTTTATCATTTAATGTTCTATTAATATAATCAAATTGAATAAATAAATTCAAAGAAAAAAAAACAAAATGAAAATAATCTGTCATTTGAATTATTATTTAATCAAAAATTTTGTTATAATTAGCAAAGTATTTCTTTTTTAAATTTCTTTTATTTTCACTAATTATATTATTTTAATATTCGAATAATTAGATATATTACGTTTTTTCTCACTTATGATAATTCTTATAGATCAATATTTTTTTATTATTAAATCTAATAAAAGAATAATAAAATTCAATACATTGAAAATGTGTTAATTATTCAAAAATAAACAAA